ACCCTACCATGAGAAATCCATGTCTTCATCACTGGAAAATATAAACGGTTGAGTTTGATAAGCTTACAAACAGGGTTGTCAAACTATTTGATAATTTTTGGAAACATTTGTATTTTATTTATTGTCATTTTAAACTTTAACATCTAAAAAAAAATGTTAAATGCTTAAACCCCCGATTTTTTTCATTGTCACATATGTTGTAGCTTAGACCCTATTTTTGATTTTCTGAGGTGTTTGTTGCGCCCGCCATCGGTTGAGACACAGTATACTCTTGAATGTAAGGCTGGGTGTCATTTCGATAATAGAAATATAATTTATAGAATGGATATACCTCTTCAGACCACTACAATTTAGCTAGTACATCATTGAAACATAAAATGAAAATGAAGTGCCAGTCCACTCCTCGTCAAATGTCTACTTAAATGGAAATGTATATTCTATTATCTTTATTTCTATAATTCCAATAGGTTTCCTTTAGAAGATTGACGGTGTAATTTAAAACAACTGATATTCCCATTCAAATCAACATTCTCTGATGTGTGGACCTCCAACCATCTTTGTGCTACCATTTGAAAGTATACATTTTTCAAGTGTATTCTCATTTTAGTACATTTATAGGGTCTAAGCTACAACATAAGTGAAAATGAAAAACAAATCAGAGTTTTTAGATAATTGGATAATTATTTTAAGAAATATTTCTGACCACTTCTACCATAGGCAAATGTGTAAAGAAAGTTTAGTGTGTGTGTGGCCCCATCTAGTGGTGTCATTATACAAAATGTTTCTGTAAATGTAGTGAATAAAGCAGGAATATATAGCAGTTTTACCTCAGATGTTTTGTTTTTCTTCTTCCCCTTCTTTTCCTTCTGTGCATCATCTGCTGGTTGTTTGTGTTTCTTTGAATTTGTCCCCACGTCTTCTGTGTTCTTTGACACAGTGGGAGCTGGTATAGGAGCATCCTAGGAAAGTGCAATACCTAATTTAATATCTCATCATGATGAGCTCAGCTTACAAGAAATGTCAGGACATAGACCTCTTTGCGATCATATTTTTTTTTTAAACATTACTGTTACCATACTTGCCTCAATGTAAGTATTTTTTCTATTCTTTTTCACTTTGCTTTCCATGTTTTCATCAATGCAGACATCTCTCTCATTTGAATTCAACTTCTTCCTTTTGGACCCACTGCCTTTGGGTTCTGATTCACATGATTTACTCTTTGCCATGATGACCAACTTGTTCCTGAAACATAATTGCATAGTTAGCTAGCTTCACAGCACAGTGTTGGACAATGGACATACTGACATATCTGTCAAGGTAAAAGGTAATGACTCTCATGACGTTTAGCTACAATTTTACTTTGAAAACTAGCTCATTATTACCAGCTATGATACTTGCACTGGCTAGTTAGCTATAGTAACGTTAGCTATCAACAGTGCTAATTATACCACACTAACGTTATGAGCTTGCCATTTGATTTCAGCATCTTTGACATGCTTTATTGTTTCATGTTAGCAAAAATGGCGGCAGGTTACATTCATAACGATTTTTATAACCTACTAATAAGAAGGAACTTACTGTAACAAAATAACTGTAAAAGCGTTGATCTCAGTAGCACGAACACCAACATGCGTTGTGTGAATCAGGAAGTGTTGACGCTTAACTTCTTGTGATTGGTCAGATAGTCATTTCAGTTCGGTGATTGGAGATTAGTGCGTTCCTAAGTGTGCTGGGACTTGTAGTCTCAGGCTAAATGCTCTTGCAATTTCAATAGATTACAATGTTGTCCAACATTTTATGCAAGCATAGTATATTGCATTGTTGATCTTTAGCATTTAGGATTATACTATAAAAATCAAAGGCCTCAACTCTTTATCTTCCAATCATTCATCTTGTAAACTACTTTCTTGACGGACACAATTCAGTGTTGCACATTGCACAACGAAGTCAAAGATGTATTATAACTAACCCAAAATAGACCAAAGCCTGTCGTTTCCAATGGGAGCAAATTCATCATAGTGCGCAGGACAAGCAAGGAGTTGGCTATCTAGCATGTATTTGCATATTTCCGTTAGGGGACGCCTACTCTGTGCAGCGCGCGTGTGCAATAACTAAATTCGCCCTTGCACTTCTAAACGGCATTTTTTGTATTTTATTTGGCAAAGGGTAAAGTCTACAAAACGCAGTTCACTCTCGCTCCATCTTCTCCCACTGCCGGCCACTGGGCTCCTGTCATCACCATATTTGCTAGTGAGTGGAAACGCCAACCGGATGCTTCACATTTATACATCCGGTGAAATATCTGGTTCATTGTTACATGACCTGCTTCGAATTTAGGATTTTGCCCTGAGATGACCATTCTTCACAATGTCGAAAATAGGACGTGTTTTATCTAGTTTGTCACACTATTCTCTGTGTCGTGGGATTGTGATTGGTAGTACCAAGACAAAGCTGAGGTATGTACAATATGAGAAATATAGCTATTTATGTTCACTTTCATGGACAGTGAGTAGTTCAATGACAATGAGTAAAACCTGACTGAGGCAAGCTAGTAAAGTAGTGCACATTTGGTTCAGGTTTTAATATCATCACTCGCATGAGTGTTCCCAATGTAGTCATTGGTTATTTGACCTTTCGATTGAATTGGGAGCTCAATTGGAGCTTCCGGCACCTCACATTTGATCAGTTAGGAGTGACTCAAGCATTAAATAAGTGATTGCTAGTTAGCTACATTTCCTGCGGTCAGATATATGATCATGAGTAGCTGCATATCTGAAGCTTTTTCAAATATGAAAAGGAAAAAGATTACATGATTGCTAAACCGCTTGTGTGTTGTAGCCAAAAGATGCTAGAATGAACAGCCCAGCTCCCAAAATACATCAACAGGTGGCACTATTGTATTGAATTCAATTTGTTAATATTTTGTAAGTTGTCACTTTGGCTTGTAAGTGTTTTTGTAGATTCTAAAAAGGTTGCTTTCTTTTTCTTTTGAGATTGAACCATGTACGGACCCTCAGCCTGACCTCCCATTGCCTGGCTAAATCAAAGAAACCAGCAGATGAGTTTAGTCCACCCATCAAGTTCTCTAGCAGTAAAGCCTGTCACAAGTCTTGGAATGTAGACCAGTCCCTGGGAAGCAAGTATCAGCGGCCGTGGTGGAAAGTCCTCCCCATCAGTCTCTTAGGGGTCAGCTTCTTGCTGTGGTGCGCACTGAGGGGCGACACTGTTATTGATGAACAGCTGGAGAAGAATCTCTATGAACAGTTACCTGGCTTACTCTCAGAAGAACAAAGAAAATCTAGCTAATATTGGGCAATTAGTCTAATTTAAGGTTATTTTAGCTAGATTAGGCCATATCTACAGCATGCTTCCAAGTCGATGAGCAATGTGCATAAGACATATTGTAATGTTCTGGTTATTGTCCACAAGTGCAGAGACTCAATATTTAAAAGGTCAAATGCAATTGTCATTACAATGTTCACGGTCAATATTTAGATCTTGTATGATCAACATTTAGTTGTCAGAATAGTGTGAAGGTAACATTGATGCAGTTATGACATACAATGGTAGGGGCCATTACCTAGCCTCTGCAGGACAACATGTACACTAAGCAAATCTATGAACTGCAGAAAAATAAAATGTGACAAACCAAGTTGTTACATTTGAATGTTTTGCAGATGCAATTATAGTTAGTATTGCAATGCCTTGAGCCACTTGTTTTAACCTTTGGTTTTGAAATGTTCTTTGACTGAGCCTTTTTGCTTTGTGTAAGTACATTTGCTTGAATGAAAATGGCCTCAATTTAGTCCCAACTACCGTTGTAGGTATGTTTATCCAATTGGCGACAGATTTATGCAACTATTCCAAAAATCTGTATTTTCCCCACCAGAGGGGTTTCCAAACGGACTGGATAAAATGCTGTGTGATATAGCACACAAAGCATTGGGGTTTAAGCTTCCACATACCAAAAAGTAAAGCGTTTCCACACTTCCAACTGGTTGTCAAACATGCCCAATCTGGTTTCGGCGCATGCGCACTAGTCAAGCCAATAGTGGAAAGGGTAGGTTATGGATAAGAGCACTTTATAATTTGCGGCCAAGCAGCAATAACCCATGCAACTGAAACGCTCAATATTAGTTTGCATTTAGCTCATCACAACCACCATTAAGTTAAATGTTTTCCCACATCGTAGTGGTAGTACGTAGCATATTGCATGACTCCAAGTGGACAGCAACATGGTTCAGCGGTTTAGATGGTACCATGATTCTCTACACTTGCTTGTTTTGGCAAACTTAGAATTTTAGCAACAAGGAAGTGGCAGTGCGACAACATTTTATAGAAAAAGATCACCACCCAAAGAAATTGTCAACATTCAATTGTACAAAACAGTTGGTAGAGCATGGCGCTTGCAATGCCAGGGTTGTGGGTTCGATTCCCACGGGGGGCCAGTATGAAAATGTATGCACTCACTAAGTCACTCTGGATAAGAGCGTCTGCTAAATGACTAAAATGTAAATGTACAGAATTCATGTTGCCATCACACATGTAGTGATACTCATGGTTAGTGTCTACTATGTCTGATTCAAGGCCTTCAAAAGTATACCTCAATGTCAGCCCAGAATGTCCATAAATTATGAGGGGGTCATAAACCAAACATGGTAAACATGAGGTAGTGGAAAGTTTATTTACAACAAATATCCATAATGCGATTAAAACAGTTCTACTCCACATGACTCATGCACGCACATTACAAGATGACCTGAAGGTATCAACCATTTCTAAAATACACTTTCAAAACCTGAGAGAGGTTAGGAATGTTTGGCAAGACACTTGCTACTTCTGTACTATAGATCACAAGCCTTTATCCTACCAATGAGACATTACAAAATTAATTGAAACTAGTACATACTAATTCATAGTTCAGATAAAACACAGCCCCAACCATTCCCGCCCACCTAGTTACCCTCCAAAAGACAGAGTAAAAAATAAAATAGTTCATATTATGCACGCTCGCCTCGGATTCGCCTAGCCAGCTGAATGTCTTTGGGCATGATGGTCACCCTCTTGGCATGGATGGCACACAGGTTGGTGTCCTCAAACAGGCCAACAAGGTATGCCTCACTGGCTTCCTGTATTGGGAGAAAACAAGCCTTTCTCAGAAAAGTAACTCAATCTAATTAGGTGTAATTACATCTTAAAAGGGATACTTGGGGACTTAATCTACTTCCCCAGTGTCAGATGAATTTGTGGAGACTATTTTTATGTCTGTGTCCAGTATGTAAAAAGGTAGTTAGTTTTGCAAGCCAATGCTAACTAGCATTAGCTCAATGACTGGAAGTCTATGGTATCTGCTAGCATGCTCCCGAAGTATCCCTTTAAGTGCAGCTGCAAACCATTACATCAGTTACTTTGGGCATAGTTGGAAGCAAGGCCACTCTGGCTCACCACTTCTTGGGTTGTCGCTCCAATGTTGCTTTAACATGGGTAATTCTTGAACCAGCTAAATTAGCACCCATGTGACTACACCTAACTATCAAACTGTTCCAATCAAAATCATAAAGTTAACTTGCCTGCAGAGCGCCAATGGCTGCACTCTGGAAGCGGAGGTCAGTCTTGAAGTCCTGTGCAATTTCACGGACCAGACGCTGGAAGGGCAGCTTCCTGATCAGCAGCTCAGTGGATTTCTGGTACCGACGGATCTCTCTCAGAGCCACTGTACCCGGCCTACACAAAACACATTAAAATCAGTATCTGCAGGCCAGTCAAAGGATTGGGCCAGAAGTCCAAAACTGCTGCAAATCGAGGTGAAAATAATTACCTGTATCTGTGAGGCTTCTTCACACCGCCAGTAGATGGCGCGCTTTTCCTTGCAGCCTTGGTGGCCAGCTGTTTCCTGGGCGCTTTTCCGCCAGTGGATTTACGGGCGGTCTGCTTAGTACGTGCCATGGCTCACTTGTTTACTTCTCTGAAAATAGATGAAATTCAAATTGAGTGTAAGGAACCGGATGGCATTACTATTAAAGTAAGCGCAAACTGTTCCTTAGTCAAGGTTACTGAAGGCCAGCAAATTGACTCGAGTTGAGACCTGGTTAGCGTGGTTATTATTAGATTATTGCAGTAAATATTTGTTTCAGTAGGCATGCAGTCTAAACAGTCAATACCGACATTGGCTAATATTAGCTTAATACGGGCCTTATGCTAATAACGCCAAGATAGCTACTGTAGTTAGGTGACCGCAGCCATGATGGAAGAAAAATAAACCACCAAAATGACAAATCGAGATTGGCATTGTGTATTCTTACAGTAACGTTAGCTGTGGAAAATCTAATTGTAATCATGTGAAATATGGGATAACTAGCTATCCACTTGATAACTGGCAAGGAACAGGAATTAGACATGGTTGAACACACTGGATACAGCCAGGGCGCCAACTATCTTGACCGGTGGCGGGTCAATTGACGCTAACGTTCGCTATACTTAAATATACATTTTACATAGCCAACTAAAACTATTACCATCCAAATAAGTAACAATCTGAAAAATGTAGTAATGAGAAGGGTAAAACAAACTTAACGCTAGTTCATTCATAAATGTGCGCACCAACTACTGTTAACGTTAGCTAGTCTGTTATTCAAGCCACCATTACGCGGCTTACAACCTACACGTTTCGTTTTCATCTTCAGTGATGTCAAGCAGCTGCCTATTTTGTAACATGGCGCCTACACGGAGGAATCATATTGCCGATTGCCACAAAGGCCTGTGAGGCCTGGTATAGGTAACCTAACAGTTAACTGACGTTACCTTACTCAGCGAAATGATAGAATACACAACACAATCTAAACGAATCGCTTGTATGTCGCAAATCGTAAATATTACTAAACGTCATGCTAGGTAGTTACTGCCCAGACAAACCACAGTTCTGTTTTACAGTAGTTAGCCAACGTTCGCTAGCTACCAACAAAACCTCGCTTGATAGTTTTGGCAACCTAAATCATTTCAATATGAACAACCACACAAATATTTACACACCGTATTAATTTAGATAAAATTTTAGCTAGTTACCTCTTCATACAAAATATACGTTCCAGTTTTTTCAATTGCCGTCTCTTATGTTGAGCGGAAATGGCACATTCTATTTATACTTTTTTTCTGTCTGATTTGTAGACCTGCCCACAAACATCAGCACAACGCTTTGTATTGGTCAAACCAAAATTACGCACTACGATGCAGAGGCTTCTTTAAAAATTGAATCAAATTTCTAACAAGTTTATCCAAGCGAAATGTGAGACTATTTTAATGATAAAATAACATACCAATAAATAAATAAATAAAATGTAACACTTTAGTTAATTTTCAATCTAGAAAGTGGCATCTGGCAACAACAAAATATATGAATAGCGGAACCAAAAGTATTTGGAAACTTTGCCCCTGTCGGAATGACGATGAACATGTACACAATGCTTGATGCATGCTCCGTTAATATATAGCCACAGATATGATTAGTTATACATGTATTTGATACAGCTCAGTAATGCATGCCTGTCGTTTCGAAGAAAGTATGCCAAACATTTTTATTTGGTTGCTTGAATAGCGTTGTGAATCTTTTCAAAGGTGAGCATAAAGGCCCTTTCTCACCAAGTCCGTTAAAAATAAATACGAGCGCGTCTAGTTTATGACGCCATTCACACCAATTGCGAAATATCGTCAATCCGTCAATTATTTATTCGGAACAGATTCGATTTTTGCAAGCACATTGAGTGAAGCGCTTCCCAGCTAGCATAGCCTATACTCAGCCGCCGTAGCCAGGTAGACCTAGCTCTGTAGGCTAAGCTTCGTGTTATTTCATTAGCCTATATCTTAATAGACAACAATTCGGACAAAAAACGCAACTTGCTTGGTGAGAAAGGGCCTTAAGGGTGAAAAAACAATGCTTTGATCATCTGCTAGTGACACTTTATGCGCCTGATGTCAGCTTTGGCATAATCTTTCTGCAGCAGTCTACATCTCATTTGAGCGAAACAGCAGTTATATGAGTGTCTTCAGAGTTGTCATCTGGAAATAGCTGGTGCTGAGTGAATCATGACAGAGCATAAGGCACTGGTCATAGGTAGGACACAAGTCATTACAAGAAATTCCTTGACATCCTTATGCATCGTAGTGTGTTTTAATACTGTGTCTCTGCATGTCCTTGTGTATGTGTTAATGTTTTGAAGCAGACATTGAGCCTCGGGTGAATGACACTGCCCAAGGAGAACAGAACCAACAAAGCAGAACAGAGAAACAACTCTGGGCCCGCAGTGAAAACTCTTTCACTTTCAACTTCTTCCCAGAGGGTGCACCAGCAGCACATGGGGTAGAAACTGCCCTCTCAGATGTGAAACACCAGTTTGCAGGATTACAGACAAAAACATCCACCGCTTCTACAGAACAGGGTTCTGGTTTTGCATTCAACTTCCAAATCCCTGTTAGTACACCAGGGGAGATGGAGAAAGAAATTGACACGCCAGTACCCTTAGAAGCTGTAGCCCCGAAAGAGTCCAAAGAGGAAAAGCGTCAGGGCCAGAACGCTCAACAAGTAATTAAAACACCTGAGCCAACCACATCTTCTAAAGGCAAGAAAAATAAGAAATCTGGTCATAAGAAAAAAGCCACAGACAGCAGTGAAGGACAGCAAAAACAGATGACAAACTTGACAGACACAGAAGGGGCTCGTGGGGAGGATGGCACAGTGCTGGTGGGTGATGTTGTTGTTTGAGTTTAATATTTCAATTTGATTCAGTGTGGTTGGTGTAGTATATCAGTTAAACTTTTGGTTGTATTTTTCAGACTACAGAACAGCAGCTGAAAAGAGAGCTGGACTGGTGCATTGAGCAGCTGGAGCTGGGCATGGCGACTCTGAAGGCTACGCCAAAACAGAGTGGGTGTAGTTTAGACTCTAGAATCCAGTCGCTCTCTGAAGTGCATGATAAACAGTACATTCAAATGTGAAATGTTCATAACACCAACAGTGAAGAAGTAGATTGTTGCAATATGCATAAAAAGTTTGATGTGGGGTTATATCTTGAGTCTTTGCTGTCTGTAGAGGAGGAGGCCTCTCGTGCCCTTAAGACGCTGCGCAGCTCCAAAGCCCCCCTGGCAAAGAAGAGGCAGGTGATGAGGGCCATGTCTGGGGACTACAGGAAGAAGATGGAGGAGGAGAAGCACAAGCAGTTCAAACTGATTCAGGCTGGTGAGTGGAGCGTGAGAGGAACTCAGATATGAGTACAAATCACATTTTATTGGTCGAAATACACATATTTAGCAGATTATTGCGGGTGTAGCGAAATGCTTGTGTTCCTAGCGCCAACAGTGCAGTAATATCTAACAATACAGGAAGACGCATAGAAGTTAAAATTTAAACAGGCTTGAAGTGAAAAAATAAACATGAAGCTTACACGAAAGTCAGTAGTGACTTTCAGTATTTCAGACGAGAAACACCGCAAATTATGAATATGATATATGTTGCATAGAAATATGTGGCAACTAAGTATTTTTATTTTTATCTTTCAGCAATGACATCGGCTCAGGTCAAAGTAGTGGCAGACCCTGCTAAGAAGTCTATTTTCCACAGGAAAGTGGAAGGTAAAACAGAGATTCTACCCTTAAAATCCGATGCAAAGAGTCAACAAGAGATTTTGCAGGCACAGACTCCAAACACAAGTGTGCTGAACCAGGAGAACTCAACTTTTGTCTTCACTCCTGCTAATGAAGAGTTCTGCTTTAACTTCCTCTGATTTGCTCTGGGGAAGTATTTGCTCAGGAAATCAGTCTTACTCTATAGACGAATACAAATTAAGCCACATTTTAAAGTTCTTTGCTTAAATGCTCCCCATCTGAAAAATGGTTTTGGTAGATTATAATGCTATTGGTTGTGGTTTGATTATGTATTGTAAACCTTTTAATTAATAAATTGTATTATTTGTCTAAATATCTGCATCTCGCATGAATTCATTGAAGTTACATCAATCTACGACCATCTACGCTATCTCTACGTTTATTGAAACTGAAAGGTGGGCAAGTTAGCCTTGTCCAGCAACAATGGTCTTGAGTTCAGGGGGGAGAACAACGTTACAAATGTGCCCATGGGGCCGCTTCAGTGTGTACTATTTCATGCCATAGTTTCTCTTGCTACTTATTTTGTGTATCTCTATCAATCAAATACTGTACGACTGGGGTAAATATAATGTACATGATGAGGTTTAAAAACTTTTGACTGGGGAGAGTTTCCATAAAACCTAGACTGTTTCTGGAGCTAGGAATCATGGGAAATGAAGTTACCCACCCAAATGTTTACTTTCAGCATTTAGTTTTCTCAAAGATAAATGACTACAACTACCAGGAATTTGACTGCACAACTTTGGGCAGTCAATTGTAACACAAGCAACCAAGAGAAGTCTTGAACACTCGGCAACTGTGGAAAAACTAAAAATAACTAGTTTTTACGGTAAGTTTAAATGCCTAAAATATTGCTGAATATAACTATGTTGTTTCTTCTGTCCAACAGCTCCGTCAGTTGTGGACTTTATGCATGTGAGTATATTAAATGGCTAGATAACTAACGTTAGCGTATAGCTAGCTAACGTTAACGTAGCTAGTTAGCTGTTGTTATCCCCATCCAAAAGGGGGCTACACATTTGCTTAGCCTGTTTTATTAGCTAGCTACGACAATGACAGAAGAGTTGGCTACAACACATACAGTATGGGACCAGGCTAAAGTTAGCTAGCTAGAAAACATTTCTCCACGACATCCTTTCTCAGTTGAGTACCTGTGTGCAGGTTACAGCGGTGCAGTGGGAGCTTGCCTAGTCTGGGGTGAGAATGTCGGAGTTGAGCGATGAGGCGGGTGAATCGGAGCAGTTTGGTGTCAGCCTCTCCCTGTGGCTAGGGGACATTAACACTTTAGTACGACCTGAGGAATTGGATGTACCCCTCGACCTCCACACTGCCTGCTCCATTGGCCAGTATGATGTAGTATCAGAGTGTATTAAAAAGTGAGTACCTCATCAACTGTGTGTGAGAGAGAGAGAGAGACTAGATGCTTCTCACAACACTCATTGACAGTAATGTACTGCTATGTCCTTTTAGAGGGGAGGTGAACTTGGACAGCAAGAACATTGGGGGCTGGACTCCCCTGATGTATTCTTCATATATTGGGCATGACAACATTGCTAATCTTTTGCTGGAGGCTGGAGTGAACGTTAATGCCACCACTGGCAAAGGTCTGACACCCCTTATGCTGGCAGCGAGCTGTGGGAATGAAAGCATTGCATACTTCCTAATGCAGGTCAGATTTACTTTTCTGAATCAAATATTGTTCTCATTTTCACCTCAAATAAACCTCAGTTCAGGTTTAATTTTAGTGTAATGGGTGGTGGTATTGTACATTATGAAACAATTTCCTAGTTGTTTTATCTCCCAAAAGCAAGGTGCTGAGTTGGAGCTGAAGGACTCTCGAGGCTGGACAGCCCTGTACCACTGCACCAGCACTGGCCACCAGCAGATGGTTAAGTTCCTGCTGGACAACAATGCCAATGTCAATGTGAAGTGAGTATCGTCAGTCAAATGAATACAACCACAACAATCTATGTCCCACTATTCAATCATGAGGTGTGTAATGACATGTTTCTCACCTGTAGAGAGCCAGGGTCTGGCTTCACTCCGCTGATGGAGGCTGCTGCTTCTGGACATGAAATCATTGTACAATGCCTCCTTGACCATGTGAGTAGGTTATTGTTTGCTAGGATTTACAGTACTGTCATTTTCATGTGTTAGTCTCAAAAACGTACCTGATGCAAATCTGTTAAAGGAGTACTAAACCTAGTTTGTATATGATAACTCTTGTCTCAGGGTGTCAAAGTAGATGAGCGGAACGCCAAAGGAGAGACCGCCCGTGCCCTAGCTATGATGTACGGCCACACAAAGATCGCCAGCCTCATTGACATGCGCTCTCCTAAAGCCAAACCAGGTGCAGGTGAAGACTTGCTTACTAAGAAGATGACTCTTTAAATCTGATACCTTTTTTATACCTTAACTGTTTTGGAAATATTGTGGTGGAACAGTTTAGGTTCTCATTGTGCCTACGTTTGCGCCCCCCCCCCCCCCCCCCCCCCCCCAGGACACTTTGAGGACCTGAGCTCGTCGGAGGACTCTGACAGCAGTGCCCCCCCCAGACTGAGTCGCTTGAGTCGCAGCCGAGCCAAAGGCCCCAGCATCCACGATGGGCCTCAAGCCATCGCCAAGTTCAGAGTGGGAGGCCCCAGTAAACACTCCGGTAGCGTTCTTTAGGTTACCTCTCTATTACAGCTTTATCTATTCCACAGAAGAAGTTGAAGTGGTTGTGCTGAATCCACATACTGCTCTGCTGCTAGACACTGTCCTGTTGGACCTTGTTTGATATAGCTATTATTCACTTATTCCTATAGAGCCAGCGGTGGCGCCCCCGGGATACATTGCATTCCGTGATGTCGGGGAGCAGAGTGAGGGCATCTGTTTCCGTGACGTCACCTCGCCTATCAACGAGCTGGACGGCCAGAGCAACAGCAGCAGAGGTATGACTACATAGTTAAACACTCTTAACCGTTCACCTGTTCACTTATTTGTCACTAGATCGTCCTACAACAGCAGCAACTTTACACGTTTCCTCCACACAGAAATACCAGTCTACACTTCTACCCATTCCACCATGTTGCTAATCCAGCTTCTGTGATTCCACAATAGATGAGAGCCCCTTCTTTGATAACGACATGCCCACCATGAGGAGCAGCAGTAGCAGCAGCGAGGGGCTTCCCTGCGTGATCGGACTTAGCCGGGAGGGCTCGCTGGAGAGTAACGAGGTAACCGCACACGGCATAGGGACCGCACATTGACGCATTCACATACCACAATGGTGGTTCCAATGAGCCCTTTTGTCCTCATCACAATGTACCTTTGTCCTTTTTAGGACTCAGATCAGGCTAAAAAGAGCTGCTCCCGCCGCGCAAACAAGGGTCATCACGCTAAAGGCAAGGGTCGCCATGGTAGCAGCAGTGAAACGGTGCAGCCCGGTGGCCCAGGGAACTGTGGGGTGCGCTCGCCTGTAGGTGGTCCTCCCAACTATGCAGGTCCCAAGGCACGTGTCGGTGTTGTTGGATCACTATACATTTAATTAATATTTCTCATACAGAGCCCCATGCTGTTCTGTTAAGTGTTTTTCCCTCGACCAGTGATCTATACCTGACCTTTGATCCCTGCCCTCTTGTAGGATCTGGCGGAGTTCCTGGAGCAGATTGGCTTTTCCAAGTACCTCCCCCTGTTGGAGGAACAGGACATTGACCTAAGGATATTTCTCACCCTCACAGAGAATGACCTTAAGGAAGTGGGAATCACGTAAGTCACTGTGGTCTCTGTCGTACCTAGCTTTGGCTCCAATGCCTTCACTAGTACCATCTTGGACATGTCTACATTCTATCGGCTACTGACTTTGTCTGTCCATCTCAGACCTACTCTGGGCTCTATAGCATATCGCAAGTCTCTCCATTCTGATTTACTTCGTTTTCTCCACTGAAGGCTTTTTGGACCCAAGCGCAAGATGACCTCAGCGATTGCACGGTGGCACAGTAGTGCCCGGCCACCTAGTGACGCTCTGGAGCAGGCCTACGCTGACCAGCTGGAGGCCGAGATGCAGGAGATGGCCATTCAGCTACATAAGGTAAAGAAGCAAAACTAACCAAAACCTTATTTCTAAACCACTTCATTGCTCCTCTTATCCCCCAACTCCTCTTTCTCCCCTCTGGTGTAGCGGTGCGAGGAGGTGGAGGGCCTGCAGGCCCAGATGTCTCAGGAGAAGGAACTGCGCACGGTGATGGAGGGATGCCTGATGGAGGACAAGATGGCCTGGAGGAGGGTGCACACAGAGCTGGTGGACAACCACAGACTGGCTCAGGACATGAATGCCACGCTAGAAAAGGCCCGCGCCTGCCGCTGCGAGCTCATGTCTCGCCTCAGCGCCGACGGCAACGGCAGTCCTTACCACGGCGACGGCAAACTGAAAGGCAATACTGGTGGAAAAGGTGGGTGGCCGTGAGCTGCGTTGTTGGATGACTGGTGGCCACAAAACCAAATATTATTCTGCCACTCCTTTGGAAAGTAACATATTATTTGTCTTCTCATTCTTTCCCTCAGGTGGAGAAGGCTTGAAGTCCACCAGTGTCTCGGAGTTAATGACAACACTGGATTCATATGAAGAGGAGCTAGGTAGGACAAACTATCGCAGGTTTTCAAATCTATCCAGTTCTCCGATGCTAACTATTGTTATGAATGAGAGCTACTGTTGTGTCTGAGAGTGTCTGGTTTTTGACCCTGCCAGGGGAGACCCTCCAGACTGTGCTCCAGAACCTGAGGCGACTGAGTGTCCCAGAGAAGGTCACAGACAGCTGGGAACAGCCCTAGGCAGTATTGGTGAGTGTCTGGGTGGGTATAGATGTTAGGTGCTAAAGCGAACCATCAACATGACTGGCTAACCACTCTTTAGGTAGCTAGGACTCCATCAACATGAGTGAGAAGTTCTGGGTCTCAATACGGCGTTCTGTCTTCACAGGGCTTCCTGACAATGCTGACGGAGGGTGAGCATGCCACCCTGAACACACTCAATGGACTGGGAGTGGGCCGGGCCAGCTGGCCGGACTGGATACAGTGGGCTGAGGACCAGTGTTCCCAGGCGCTCCCGTATGGGAATGGGCCAGGGGTTGTGGCCTCTAGCCTGGCCAAAGAGGCCATTGGCAGATACTGCAGGGATACGACAAACGGGCGAGGGCAGCTGCTCCTCACATGCCTGTGCTGGTGATGGTGGACTGCTTCATTTGAATTAGGAGGTGCAGTCGGGGGAAAGCTGATAAACCAGCCAGCTCCCTAAGGCGAGCCTGTCTGGCTGTGAAACATTTTGACTGTAGATCCTCTGTCCTCCTATCCTATATGTATGAGACACATACATGCTGTGATGCAAACAAAAGAAAGATCACTCATGTTTCTAAATAACCTGATCTTTGACATGAAGAGAATAAATGTACATGAATTGATCATTTTAGAATATAAAAAAAAAATGTATTCTGTAACTTGTTTTGTTGCATGTTAGGAAGTGTCGTCCTGCTGAATGTAAAGTCTGGAACAGAAAATCCCCATAGAGGGAAACAATGTCTGTAACTTCCATTGTTGATCTTTCACCACATCTGTTACTAGTGTCTTCTGTAATGTTTAACTGTATGTTGTTTTTCATTTTTTCAAACTTCCCATTTTGTTGTTCATGTTCACATATTTTTAAAGTATGACCTCAGTGAATGTAGTGTTCTGTGTGTGTGTAATCATAAGCGCAATAAATGTTTTGTCGTGTCAGTCTAAAACCTGTGCATTATTAGGTTAACTTTCCAGGCAATATCTCAATAACATTGTAGTATGAAAGTCTTACTTTGATTATTAATTACACTTTAATATGTAAGCACAATTTAGCATGTGTAAGCCATCCCTTTTAACATTCTAGTTCCATAAGCATTATGGCAATGTGTCCCATTCAAAAGGTCACTGACTGGGTTAATACAAGTTCACATGGTTTATGATACAGAGACAGATGAGCATCACAAAATATTTTATTGCCTTAGAAAACAGTGCTGAACGTGTTCAGTGGAAGCACTGGGGAGTCGTTATCTCATGAATAAAGTCTACATCAGTCTTCCCAAAATATCTTTATCGCTATTTACATACACAAATGATCCATTTAGAACAGCAAACTGTTCTGCCCAGCTGAGCAATACACTGACGAATTAAAAAAACGAAATGCCATAACATCAAATGGATCAGAAATACAGTTTAGACTTTGTTAATGTTGTAAATGGCTATTGTAGTTGGAAACGGCTGATTTTTAATGGAATATCTACATAGGCGTACAGAGGCCCATTATCAGCAACCATCAGTCCTGTGTTCCAATGGCACGTTGTTTGCTAATACAAGTTTATCATTTTAAAAGGCTAATTGATCATTAGAAAACCCTTTTGCAATTATGTTAGCACAGCTGAAAACTGTTGTGCTGATTAAAGAAGCAATAAAACTGGCTTTCTTGAGACTAGTTGAGGATCTGGAGCATCAGCAATTGTGGGTTCGATTACAGGCTCAAAATGGCTAGAAACAAATAACTTTCTTCTGAAACTCTTCAGTCTATTCTTGTTCTGAGAAATTAAGGCTATTCCATGCGAGAAATTGCCAAGAAACTGAAGATCTCGTACAACGCTGTGTACTACTCCCTTCACAGAACAGCGCAAACTGGCTCTAACCAGAATAGAAAGAGTAGTGTGAGGCCCAGGTGCACAACTGAGCAAGAGGACAAATACATTTGAGTGTCTAGTTTGAGAAACAGGTGCCTCACAGGTCCTCAACTGGCAGCTTCATTAAATAGTACCCGCAAAACACCAGTCTCAACGTCAACAGTGAAGAGGCAACTCCGGGATGCTGACCTTCTAGGCAGAGTTGCAAAGAAAAAGCCATATCTCAGACTGCCCAGCTTAATTTTTAATTTGTATTGGCCAGTCTGAGATATGGCTCTTGGCAAATTCTCGCATGGAATAGCCTTCATTTCTCAGAACAAGAGTAGACTGATGAGTTTCAGAAGAAAGTTATTTGTTTCTGGCCATTTTGAGCCTGTAATCAAACCCACAATTGCTGATGCTCCAGATCCTCAACGTTTCCAGCTACAATAGCCATTTACAACATTAACAATGTCTACACTGTATTTCTGATCAATTTGATGTTATTTTAATGGACAGAATAAGTGCATTTCTTTCGAAAACAAGGACATTTCTAAGTGACCCCAAACTTTTGAATGGTAGTGTGTATATATATATATATATATATATATACATACTTAACAAAAAATATAAATGCAACATGCAACAATTTCCAAGATTTTACAGAGTTACAGTTCATATAAGGAAATCAGTCAATTGAAATAAATTCATTGGCCCTAAATTCATTGGAGGCAGCTTATGGTAGAGAAATGAACATTACATTCTCTGGCAACAGCTCTGGCGGACATTCCTGCAGTCAGCATGCCAATTGCACGCTCCCTCAAAACTTGAGACATCTGTGGCGTTGTGTGACAAAACTGCACAGTGGCCTTTTATTGTCCCCAGCACAAGGTGCACCTGTGTAATGATCATGCTGTTTAATCAGCTTCTTGATATGTCACACCTGTCAGGTGGATGGATTATCTTGGCTAAGGAGAAATGCTCATTAGAGGGTTGTAAACTAATTTGTGCATAACATTTGTGATAAATAAGCTTTTTTTGCATATGGAACATTTCTGGGATTTTTTATTTCGGCTCAGGATACATGTGACCAACATGTTTATTTTTTTTCAGTTATATATATATATTCATAAATGATTGTGTTCACTTAACTTCGAGTTTCTGTCATTGTCAAGGTGAGCACTGAGTAGGCCCATCCCAAACTTTGAACATTGCTCCATACGGTAGGTCCATGATCCCCTCGTTCTCCTCTACGACTGGTTTAATGGATTGGACTCCAGTCTTACCCACCTGTCTTCCAATAGCAGCCATCCTGCTACCATGGCCACCCCCCTGTGGACCCCAGTCTCAGGAGAGGCCAGCCTGGAGTGTGAGACCCAGGCCAGGTTGAGCCAGGCACTGTGAGGGGAGGTGCTCCCCCTCACACAGAGAGCCGGCTGGGCGGGGGTGGAGCTGAGGGTCAGGTGTACTCACACAGGTGTCCACAGCCGGCCGGGCAGTGGGAACTGCTCTTTAACCAGTTCATCACGTGCTCCAGGTGCCCGCCGTGACTACAGCCCTGGCACCACACAAACAGCCCCTTCACCACGTGGTGGCACACGGCACAAACACTGGCACACTGGTGGCACCTGGGGAACGGGAAAAGTTGAGTGGCTATATTGGTCAACTTTCCAAATGTTCTCTTGCCTGGTTCCTCTCTAGGTTTCTTCCTAGGTTCCTGCCTTTCTAGGGAGTTTTTCCTAGCCACCGTGCTTCTACATCTGCATTGCTTGCTGTTTGGGGTTTTAGGCTGGGTTTCTGTATAGCACTTTGTGACATCTGCTGATGTAAAAAGGGCTTTATAAATACATTTGATTTGAGCTCATCTAGAAATATGTAATATGCCATTTAGTTACACTGTAATGCCTTTCTAGATTGTTTCTCATTGGTTAGTAACCCTTCCCTTTACTGTGTTAGGTAGGTCAAAGTTCTATGTTATGGTTTTAAGTTATACCTGTCACAGATCCAGCCCCTGTTGCTCATGGGTCGTTTGCAGTTGCTGCAGTTGACGTGCAGCGTGGTAGACGTCTGGTTCAGACAGGTGATGGCGCTGCAAGTGCTCAGCTTGATGACCTCGTTGGACACGTTCCACAGTTCGAAACGCTGCAGCAAGTCAATGTAGGACATGTACCAGTGCTCCTGAAATAGGGTCAACGCTATTATTAGAACATGCTGAAATGAACAACATATTTGTCAGCTTGGAGGATATGCAGATTACCAAGGCTCTAACCTCCGTCATTATTTAGTCTATCAAGCAGTTATTTGTAAACCAATAAGCCATGTTAAATTGTTCAAACAGAATTCTCAAGAGCATCCCAATTAATTTTCTGCAACACATAATCATTGAATCTGTATTCTGGTTCAGGAACCGACCATACATTTTCTCAACATTATTAGTATTATAAATCTTCAGTTCTTCACCATGACAACTGTTATATCCCTAGCTCTGACCTGAGTGAGGTCGTCGATCTCCTTGCGGATGCGGTCACCCAGGACGATGAGCACCGAGACAGCCATCTGCACGTCGCCCTGCTCAGCATAGTGGCTCAGCATCTCCCTGACCACGGGGCAGAAGAAGTGGGCGGGAAGGTGGGTGCTGAACAGCGGCTGTGAGATGGCGATCAGCGAGAAGGACTCGGTGGGTGTCAGGCACATGACCTCCGCCTCGTTGCCGCTGGCGTGCGGCGAGTCGGCCTTGTCCTGCTGCAGGTGCTCCGGCACCGACGGGTTGTCCATGATCTCGTGGCGCAGCGGGAAGGCCTCCTGGGGAAGCGTGTACTCCTGTTCCTCCGCTGAAAACACCAGAAAAGAACAAGCTCAGAAAGTAAAAGTCGTAGATCATAGCCTAGCCCTGAAACATGGCTGTAACCTCCATTGAAATGGCATTCGACATGTAAGGTTAGTGGTGGCTATTGGCTACGTCAAAGGACAAATAGGGGGTGCTTATATTTATCCTGTTTCACTGCATGTACAAGTGGGTAACCTGTACAAGTGTGAGGTGTGAAATAGAAATGTGTTCTTTGAATATCCCAACTCCCCCTGAGAGACCCTCTGAGAGTCCAAGAGGGTCAGAGACTCACCGGCCTGGTTTTCAAGCTCTATAGAGTAGAGGTCATCGTCATCCAGCTCAGCGTCACCAAACATGTACTCCGCCTGTCCCTCACTCCCCTCTGTCTCCTCATTCTCTGCAGTGGGACAAATCTCTATATCGTTTACTCATCTATTGCATCCATCACAGTAAGTAACATTCTACTAAATGTGGTTCACAAAAACAACCTATATGTTGATTAATTTCTTCAGTGAAGTGGGAGCAGCTTGAGTGTTTTTAGAGTTTTACTCTCACCGTCGTTGTTGCTGTTGATGAGCGAGTTCCCAGGCTCCAGGTGAATGCTGTCCTGTCTGATCTCTCCTTTACTGCGGTCCAGCCTGCTCTCTGTCCCCATCTCCTTCATACTGAAACTTGGGCGGACACAAAAAAGGATTCAAGATTTTAACTTTTAGGTCTTTTAGTTTGTCCACACTATTTTTCAGCTTATGTGTTTTATGTAAAGCCTGGGGTAAGTACCTGTTCATTAAAGGAAGGTTGCCCAGTTTGCTGATGTTATTTGGACCAGGTGTCGAGAGGTTAGCTGGATCTGAGAACATGAGCCGAAGCATGGTCCATGTAGTAGAAACCTTCAAATGGGGAAATATGAAATAGCTTGTTAGTGATCATCAAAACTCTACTTAGTTCCACAACAATTATTCATTGGGTATGTGTAAATGAATGTAGCTTATCTCTGAGGGGCAGACTGACTGACCTGAGGTCTGTTGAGCTCCTTGGCCACCTTGGCGTTGTGGTCACACAGCTCGGCGAATGGTTTGCCGCCGAGGAGGTAGAGGCGCGCCGTCTTTACAAACCAGTCCATGCACCTGCTCTCCAGAGATGACTCGAACACGCTGAGGGCGCTTGACACGTGGGCAAACTGCTCCGTCAGATCGGGCTTCTTGAAGAAGAAGATGGGGTAGCGGCGGTCGCCACCCGGGTACGGTTTCCTGTTGGTGTCGCCACTGATGAGGCTCTCCTTGGCGGCGAAGGCTAGGTCTCCAAACAGGCCGAAGCACAGCCCCTCGGGGTTGGCCCGGTCAACGGGCCGGCTGGCGTCCTTGAACATGTGCTGGTAGAGTGTGCTGTCCTTGGAGCCTGACAGCAGGAAGTAGGGGTCGTGCTGGTGGCGCCACACGATGCCTGTGGTCACATCCTTGTGCTCCTCGAAGGTGGCAAAGGGGATGAAGGGCCGCCGGACGTCCCACACGTAGATGTTGTGGTCCACCATCATGGAGCAGGTGGCCAGGTGCCACTTCCTCTCAGGACGCCACTTGACCCGGGCCACCGAGGCGATGGTCTGGACGCAGTAGATCTCTTTGGCCCGGTTGGTGGTCATGTCCCACACCTTCACCATCTTGTCCCGGCCGCCAGTGGCCAGCCAGCCCCTGCAGACAGAGGCCAATACATTAGCAATGTGGCTGTTGATTCAGGGGTGGCTGTTGAGTCAAGTGAATCAACAGCCACACTGTAAGCAAAAACGATTACTGTATCTAAAGCAAATTCACTTTAGATGAATGGTCAACCAATGCAAACATCAATGCTTTTTCAACATGTACAGTGAGGGAAAAAAGTATTTGATCCCCTGCTGATTTTGTACGTTCGCCCACTGACAAAGACATGATCAGTCTATAATTTTAATGGTAGGTTTATTTGATCAGTGAGAGACAGAATAACAACAACAAAATCCAGAAAAACGCATGTCAAAAATTGTATAAATTGATTTGCATTTTAATGAGGGAAATAAGTATTTGACCCCTCTGCAAACCATGACTTAGTACTTGGTGGCAAAACCCTTGTTGGCAATCACAGAGGTCAGATGTTTCTTGTAGTTGGCCACCAGGTTTGCACACATCTCAGGAGGGATTTTGTCCCTCTCCTCTTTGCAGATCTTCTCCAAGTCATTAAGGTTTCGAGCCTGACGTTTGGCAACTTGAACCTTCAGCTCCCTCCACAGATTTTCTATGGGATTAAGGTCTGGAGACTGGCTAGGACACTCCAGGACCTTAAAGTGCTTCTTCTTCTTTGTTGCCTTGGCCGTTTGTTTTGGGTCATTGTCATGCTGGAATACCCATCCACGACCCATTTTCAATGCCCTGGCTGAGGGAAGGAGGTTCTCACCCAAGATTTGACGGTACATGGCCCCGCCCATCGTCCCTTTGATGCAGTGAAGTTGTCCTGTCCCCTTAGCAGAAAAACACCCCCAAAGCATAATGTTTCCACCTCCATGTTTGACGGTGGGGATGGTGTTCTTGGGGTCATAGGCAGCATTCCTCCTCCTCCAAACACGGCGAGTTGAGTTGATGCCAAAGAGCTCGATTTTGGTCTCATCTGAACACTTTCACCCAGTTCTCCTCTGAATCATTCAGATGTTCATTGGCAAACTTCAGACGGCCCTGTATATGTGCTTTCTTGAGCAGGGGGCCCTTACGGGCGCTGCAGGATTTCAGTCCTTCACGGCGTAGTGTGTTACCAATTGTTTTCTTGGTGACTATGGTCCCAGCTGCCTTGAGATCATTGACAAGATCCTCCTGTGTAGTTCTGGCCTGATTCCTCACCGTTCTCATGATCATTGCAACTCCACGTGGTGAGATCTTGCATGGAGCCCCAGGCCGAGGGAGATTTACAGTTATTTTGTGTTTCTTCCATTTGCGAATAATCGCACCAACTGTTGTCACCTTCTCACCAAGCTGCTTGGCGATGGTCTTGTAGCCCATTCCAGCCTTGTGTAGGTCTACAATCTTGTCCCTGACATCCTTGGAGAGCTCTTTGGTCTTGGCCATGGTGGAGAGTTTGGAATCTGATTGATTGATTCCTTCTGTGGACAGGTGTCTTTTATACAGGTAACAAGCTGAGATTAGGAGCACTCCCTTTAAGAGTGTGCTACTAATCTCAGCTCGTTACCTGTATAAAAAGACACCTGGGAGCCAGAAATCTTTCTGATTGAGAGGGGGTCAAATACTTATTTCCTTTTTTCTGGATTTTTTGTTTGTTATTCTGTCTCTCACTGTTCAAATAAACCTACCATTAAAAGTATAGACTAATCATTTCTTTGTCAGTGGGCAAACGTACAAAATCAGCAGGGGATCAAATACTTTTTTCCCTCACTGTATCAACATGTCTTTCTCTAAAGCCTCTCCCTACCTGTCATCGGGGTGCCAGTCACAGCAGAACACAGGGCCGGTGTGGGCTGTGAACATCCTCTCATACCGGTCAGGCCTCCGGATGTCCCACAGCTGGACGTTACCGTTCTCAAAGGAAGCAGCAAAAGTAAAGTAATCCTTCATGCTGAACTGAACATCTCTTACGCTCTCCGACTGACCTGAAAAAAAGAACATAGATAAACACGAACGTCCTCAGACCAGGTTCATTACCATGTCGTACGACTGTGTTTTGTTTATTGTTACTCTTCAAAATGGATTGTTTAAGACACTGTCTGAAAAGGGTCCTTGGTAACTAATAAGATGCTGTTTGTTTTGTAGCCCAGAGGCATTCCTGGACATGAGCAGGGCCCGGTTTCCCAAAAGCATCTTAAGGTTAAGTTCATCATTAGAACCTTCGTAGGAGCATCGTTAAATCTCCGAGCTGTTTCCCAAAACCATTGTTAGTAAAGTTGCACTTGAAAACAATTGTTATTTAGCACCTGCCTCAGACCACTCGAACAGAACAGCTAAGTGCCTCGTTAGATGCTTTTTTGCCCTTATGCGTCACTTTATACACAGAAGATCTCTGCGAAACATAGAATCAAGCTGTTTATCTGTCTCTCTGTGACCACCGATAACTTCATAACAAAGTTTACTATAAATACAAAGTTGCCTATGTCTTTGCTATTGAACAAGTGAAGGATAAAATGTTCAGTCAATTGAGTTCTATTTGTTGCAACACACATTTTTGCCTCAATATATTTAATGATGTGTAACAACATGTGCACAATGATGTGCCAAATTAATCTGAGATTTATTATAGGGTAAGCATTAGAATAAGCCACCTCAATATTTGCAGCCGTAAGGTGATAACTCTCTAGAAGCTGATCTGTAGTCAGTACTGTGGAATAATTATTATGTTAAGGTAAGATTTGAATGGAGAAAGCTGATCAAAAAGCAGCACTGCCTTTCTTCCTATCAGTATTGACACATGTCCAACAACGCACTTAGTTAATGTTCTTTCTGCGTGGTGTTTGGGAAACTCATGTTACATCTTCGGCCGTTGTAGGAACGATGCATCATTAAAACACTTGGAAGCCTAAATTGCATTGCTATCAGGAAACCAGGCCCAGGTAGGTATTTCTACACTCCACCTAAGGTGTTACTCCTGTGTTCAACCTCAAAGAGTGCAAGAACTATCCACAGACACACATACCTGAAAAGGTGCTGACGGACTCCTTCTTGCGCAGGTCGAAGCACTTCATGTAGCCATCCTGGGAGCCACTGAGCAGCATGTAGACTTCGGTGGGGTGGAAGCACACCTTGTTGACCGTGCGCTTGTGCTCGGTGAACAGCTGGTCCTGCTTGTTGCGCGATGGTTTGCCCAGGTTCCAGGTGACCACCGCCCCGTTGGTGGCAGCCGTGGCCAGCAGGTTCTCCTCCATCTGGTGCCACATGACGTCGGCGCAGCTGAAGTTGAGCGAGGGCTTGCGGCCCACGCGCAGGTTGAGCTTCTCCACAAACTGCTCCTCCTCCAGGCCATAGATCTTGAAGATATTGCGGCCGGCCACCACCACCTGTGTGGCATCGCGGCACACACTGATGGCGTTGGCGGGCGCGTCCAGGTGGCAGAACATGGTGCGCCCGCTGATGGCGCTGCTGCCCAGGGCCGTGGTTACCCGCGACATCTTCTCCATGGCCTGGTGGGGGACACAGAAAGGTGGTTGGGGAAATTATATTGGGAAATTCCAAAAGAATGGCCATAGTTTCACCAGAAGATGGCACTGCAGCTATGAGGAGAGCTCAGCTTGGTACTTGGGTTGTGCTGCTGGCAGTGGTCTGTCACATATTTATATGACCTTGTAATCTCTTTCTAATTCATTCCAATGGACTTACTCCAAATAGCAGCGGCAATCCTCTGGGCCTCTAAAGAAACACAGAGGCCTCCTCATACAGTCCTGTCAGAGGTTACCAGAGAAAAGGGTCATTATCATCCATTTCAACAATCATCCACACTTATATGTTAATCTTGTAGAGCTGAGAAAGGTAACCCATTCAATAGTGTGTCTGTAGGTTTTTGCTCCAACCAGCCAGCCACGACCTGAAAGTACCTAGGCCTAACCAGTCTCTACTGAGACAAAGTTCCTTCCTGTTCAGGTGCTGAGGTCCAAGCTGGAGCAAAAAGCATGACTGTCATTACAACTCTTCAAAATCAAAGTTATCTTTAAAGAGTAGCTACACTGATACATCACTGATGCTGAGACAAATACTGCAACCAGATTGGACATTCACAAGTTATACCAAAACAGTGCTTACCTACAACCCAACAGCCTTCTATAAAATGGCTCAAGAGAATGTTCACCTCCCTTTGCCCGAAGTGCATGGCGGATTGCTTAATGCTCCCAGCTCTCCAGAATCCTGCGTGATTATAACAGAGGGGCCCTGGGTGAGGTTGGACCACGGCAAAAAAATGACACTGAGGTGCTGAAAGAGGGGAGGGAGAGCCTTGTTATGGTTTATGCAGCTGTACTCTATGCTGTAGCTAATGATGCTGCACAGCCTTTGTGGACATACACAATACTTTGACATTTGGGTCCCTAAGTCTACAGTAATTGTTGATTATTACATTTTTATGACCACGACCTATGGTCATGTCTGTTATAGGTGTGAGCATGAGTTTCAGAGCAGCTATTAACAACGTCAACAAACAACAACATTGCCTGTTAACCTTGTGATGGATTCCAATTTTATCTAGCTAGCTAGATCAAGGCGAATAAAACTGATATTACCATTAATTGCTTAAAACAATGTAGCCACTGAACTTTGCAATGTTTAGGAAAGTTTACTACCTGTCATTTGAAATGTTTATAAATATTAGCTAGCATCTGGCTAGGGTAGCTAGCTAGCTAGCTATACTACGTTTGTCGTTCACGTTCTCGAAATGACATCACACCAAGAACAACAAGACTGAGACACACAGCCAATGAATGCACATCAATAAAGAACATTTGTCTTCTAATTTGCGAGTAGAAATCACCTGTGAGCCGACTATAAAGCTAGCTAGTTGGCTGCTAGCTAACTTGCTAAAGTACTTAACGTTAGTTGCAACATTGCAGTCGGATGACATATGATGCTAATTATTTTACTAACAGGTTCAGAAACGTCATTAGTTGACGAGAAAAGTACCGTTATTTCCTAATATAATTGGTTTTAGTGCACAATAATTGGCGCTAATTTTGGAGGACTAACCTAGCTTTTGAAACAAAATTATTGTTCACGGAACCGGAAGTTGTAAGTGTTATTCCCATGAATCTGGCGAAAACAAGCATTACAAAACGGAAGTACATGCTCTGAAAGGAATTCATTCATCGTTCATACTTTGTTTTGTAATATTTTATGACTGTTGTACACATGTGGATGGTAAGTGTTTTTCTGCCTTTTATTATTCTGACATCATGACTTTGAAGTCGTAGCTGAATGTATTTTTCTTGTTGTTCCCATACAGTTTCAGTTCATGCACATCTATCTGTTGAATAGGCTATTTTGGGCCAGAATGAATATCAATACAGAGAGTAGGCCTATTGAACTGAGAATGCTGCTTGTCAACTATGGTTTCTGTTCTCCAATGTGTATAAAGGTTTAGACCGCAGCTGTCCTCTGCAGTGTGTCAGGGGAAAAGGGCCTCCTCCCTCAGGAGTTTTGGGGAATAACAACATTCCCCTGTGTGCTGTCTACTCAGGTCTGAGGTAGTTTTGGCCCATTATCCCTTTTATACAGCAATGAGTGGAACACTATTCGCCTGCGAAGACCCAGCTGTCTGGAGAAAGTTATATGGGAAATACTGGGAGGTAGTGGAGGCCAAGTCCCTTGGGAAGGGCAAGAAGTCTGGAAAACTGCTTCCCTTGGATAAATGGTAAGTGTGGCACATACATGATCCCATTACCAGGTATCGATGAAGAGCAGACTATCATCACAACTACAGTCAATCTGTCACATTAATTAACATAAACACATATAGATTTGAGCTTTCAATTGACCAGGATGGGGATTCCCTCAATGCCTTTTATGCATGCCTTTTGATTGATGTAAGTAAACATGGAATATTTAGTCTGAGCCTCATCTCTGGCCAGGTATCAAGAGGAGCTGCCTGTAGCCATCGCTGGGCGTCCTTACAAATATGTCACCCAACCAGAACTGGTGAAACTGATGGAGTGGAAGCTCACTGTAAGTAGATCTAGTGCGGATAGATGCAGAGCTTTATTGACTAAATAGTAAATGGATGTTTCTGATATTCCAGGTAATAATGTGAAATTAAAATAAAAACATTTCCTTGTACTGAGATAAATATAACTATACTTTCCTTACTGTCCATGAGCAGAGAAATATCTTTAAGCTCCCTGACTGGTTTTGAAATATCTTGGCACGGTATCACCTGCAGAGGGGGAAGTTCCGTCCGAGGCTGCAGCAGCTCGTGGCCTCTAACAGTGATGAGACGGTGGAGAAGTGCTCTAGAAAGGCCTTCAGTCTCCTCCCTGACGTCCAGGCAGCCATCACAGAACTCAGCTCTCTCAAAGCCCTGGGCCCAGCCACAGCCTCAGGTCAGCAGCACCAAGGGGCTGGGGGTTTGGTTCAGAGGATGAGAAAACACTTTTTAGGCTATTTTTAAGAATGACATATGAGAAGGCTGACATGTTTTCTTATTTTCAAGAGTAGAAACAAAGTCACCTAGACAAAGTTGTTTCAGTGAGCTTCTTAAAGGGATAAATTGATTTAGGCCTATTCAATTGGATTAAGCACGAAGAACAAAGCTCACAACACAGGATGGAGGTTCCCGACCCTCTGTTAAAGTGTAGTTCACTTAATATTCAGGAAACATCAGCAATCCGGTGAGGGGCACAGTTTAACTTGGGCTATCTTTGACTGGCCGTTTTGTTCCAGCTGTATTGGCAGCAGGAGCTCCGGAGCAGGCTGCGTTCATGGCCGACGAGGCTGTTGAAAGTGTCCCTGGACTGGGGCCCATCCAGTACACACCCAGGCACTATGCGCTCTACCTGAACAAAATGGCTTCACACACACAAACACTTAACAAAGGTGAGATCGCAACTGGGTGAGAGTGTGTGTGGAATGCACATTGCGGATACATATTCAGTGGGTCCAAATATTATCTATCTGCAACATTCTGTGTGTGTCGGGGGGGGGGGATACTGTACCCGGGATGTGGAAACCCCATGCCGTAATCTATGCTCATGTTGTTGTTTGACCCACCTCCTCCATCTTCCTCAGTGGACAGCGAACGGGACTGGACGCCCCATAGGGTGGAGCTGTGTTTGTGGGCATGGGCTGTAGCCAATCAGCTGCAGCTCCCCCTGCTGAAGGATGTGAATCTAGAGCGCAGCCTCAGCAATAAGTCAGACCCAGAGACCAATGACAGGCCAGCTAAGAGACCGAGGACCAAGTAAACTTTTTTTCTTCAGAAAACTACCTTGTAAAGCCTTTAATTTGACTATAGAGATTATGACTGGGATGAAAGAATGTCAGGCTACCTCAACATTATGGCAGTAGTGTTTTGTCTTTACGGTATGTCTATTTTTACAGTGTAACTTGCAAATAAATCTTTGATATTAAACAGGATTTATTTAGCATCTGGTGCTGTGCTTGGTTAACTCACCCCATGTACCCACAATGTAAAGTGCCCACTTGATGATACTTTTGTATATATAGTGTATGTGGACACCCCTTCAAATTAGTGGATTCGGCTATTTCAGCCACACCCGTTGCTGACAGGTGTATAAAATTGAGCACACAGCCACGCAATCTCCATAGACAAACATTGGCACTAGAATGGCCTTACTGAAGAGCTCAGTGACTTTCAATGTGGCACCGTCAAATGTTGTCACCTTTCCAACAAGTCAGTTCGTCCCATTTCTGCCCTGCTAGAGCTGCCCCGGTCAACTGTAAGTGCTGTTATTGTGAAGTGGAAACGTCTAGGAGCAACAACGACTCAGCCGCGAAGTGGTAGGCCATACAAGCTCATAGAACGGGACTGCCGAGTGCTGAAGCGCGTAGTGCGTAAAAATCGTCTGTCCTCGGTTGCAACACTCACTACTGAGTACCAAACTGCCTCTGGAAGCAACGCCAGCACAATAACTGTTCTTTGGGAGCTTCATGAAATGGGTTTCCATGGGCGAGCAGCCGCACACAAGCCTAAGATCCCCATGCGTAATGCCAAGCATCGGCTGGAGCGGTGTAAAGCTCGCCGCCATTGGACTCTGGAGCAGTGGAAACGTGTTCTCTGGAGTGATGAATCACGCTTCACCATCTGGCAGTCCGACAGACAAATCTGGGTTTGGTGGATGCCAGGAGAATGCTACCTGCCCCAATGCATAGTGCCAACTGTAAAGTTTGATGGAGGAGGAATAATGGTCTGGGGCTGTTTTCATGATTTGGGCTAGGCCCCTTAGTTCCAGTGAAGGGAAATCTTAACGCTACAGTATACAATGACATTCTAGACGATTCTGTGCTTCCAACATTGTGGCAACAGTTTGGGGAAGGCCCTTTCCTGTTTCAGCATGACAATGCCCCTGTGCACAAAGCGAGGTCCATACAGAAATGGTTTGTCGAGATCGGTGTGGAAGAACTTGACTGGCCTGCACAGAGCCCTGACCTCAACCCCATCGAACACCTTTGGGATGAATTGGAACGCTGACTGCGAGCCAGGCCTAATCGCACAAAATCAGTGCCCAACCTCACTAATGCTCTTGTGGCTGAATGGAAGGAAGTCCCCTCAGCAATGTTCCAACATCTAGTGGAAAGCCTTCCCAGAAGAGTGTAGGCTGCTATAGCAGCAAAGGGGGGACCAACTCCATATTAATGCCCATGATTTTGGAATGAGATGTCCGACGAGCAGGTGTCCTCATACTTTTGGTCATGTAGTGTATGTACAAGGGGGCTAGTATAATAAATATAGCAGTGGGATGATGAGACATTTCCACAGTATTGTTCTTTATTCGTATTGTTCCTAAATTAAAGCAAATACAATGAACAGTACAAAATAAAACCAAAATATATACAATATAAAATGGTTCAGTTCAGAACATTTAAAAAGTACAATACATCATGAAATAATTAATGAGGACTTTAATATAAACTATCCATATTTACATACATTTAGTTTTAATTTGTTTCTTGGTGACCCAGAGAAAAATAGCCTCTTTGTTCATTTTGTAATTATTTATTTGTAAACGTTGTATTGGTACAACCTCTGGTCTGGATTTGGAAACTTAAACGCCTAAGCTTGGCCCCATTTTATCAATGCAAGAGAACAGCCAGTGAAAACTACCACAGCAGCACACATGACCTTAAACCAAACTGCCTCAATTATCCATAACTACTGTACCATATTCTGCATTCAAAACCTCCAAATACTGGTATTATAATGGTCTAGAGATGGATGAAAACAACTTGGTTAACTTTTCAGCACTGGTGATAGTTGTATGTTGGTCTAACCATGTGTGGCATGTCTAATACTTTGTATTAGAAGGATACTGAAAAAGTAATGCGCTGGTTTGCTTGCTTTGATTCTTATTGAAAATACGTTTATCTGGCTAATGAGCTACAGTAGCCTGCCTCATACAGTACTGCATTAAATTACCCATGTTGAAGTAGTACACCGCTGACACGCACTAGGAGAAGGCAACCTGCTTGGTCACAAGCATCAGCTTTAAGCAGGTACTGCATATTGATATCATTAAGGTTGGTTGATCTACATATCCATAAAATATAAAGATCAGATCAGTGATGCAGTGCAGTGACCCTCCTAACCTGATGCCTTTAATCACACACAAACGCAACAGCCAAGCCCCTTATCCATTGCTAAGTTTAGGGTGTAGACGCACTGGATGTAACAAGGCATTATCCGTAAGAGCACAACGGATTGTGGTAAGGAGGTAATACCAATGAAAGCATCAAATAAAGAACAAAATGGCACTATAACATATTGGCACAATGACATGTCAGTTTATCACGTTACAACAAGTGCAAAAAAGCTCACCTATGACAAAACACATGAGTCTGGAATATCTAATAACAGTATAAATCTCAAGTATGCTTGCTACATAAGTTGTGTTGCATTTAGACACAGACAAGCAGAGAAGGAATGAACAGGGAAAGTCGTTTGAGAGCGGCTCCATTGAATGATGTCAACTAAGGGGTTGACGCATCCACAGAAAATGGAGGGCACATGGCAAGATGGTACGTTGGTTCCACTCTCTTTTAACAGTGACGTCCTTTAATGGTGATGTGGTTCAACAACAACACTACCTTCAAAATGTTAGGCTATTCATGGACGCTGACAAATATGTGAGGGGGGAGGGGGGTCTTCAGACCACTCACTAAAGAGGTGGTGGTGGGGTTCTAATCAATAGAGCGTCATTGATAAAATGGATCACATGGTATGATTGGCTGGCTGCCCCTATTCTACTCATGCTATTCTTCACCAGGCCCACCTATGTCGATGAAAACAAATGTCACATAAAAGACAGCAATTAAATCAACATCATGCAGCTTGTCACATTTACTTAAAGAAGAAGAGATCATGTTTACACCGGTGGAGCCCCAGGTTCTGGTAGAACTGAGCCCTGCGTAACAGCCATACATCACTTCCTAAGCCAGAGGCGTTGTGATGGGCACACGACAAGATATGAAGGCACACACAGCTGCTTTACGACCCCAATGGTGTTTTATGAGTGGTGCCACCTCCATTCCTCTGTCTCTATACCCACTCTCCCTGCATTGCTCACAGACACACTTTGGCACACGCCAAAGTTGTCACATATCAGCCTGTAGATGACATTTTCTCCTTCATTACAGCGTTTATGCTTCTCCCCCCAGATCCTCGGCTGTCTGGATAAAGCAGAGGGCTTCATAGCCAAAAGGAGAGTGGGATTGGATGGGCTTTTGTAGAAGATGTGTTGTTAGTGCTGCTGTCTTTGGATGCGGCCTAGGGCCAGGTAATTTGGCTTACAAACGGATAATAAACTACTCCCGACGACTTTTCTCTGCCTGCTTAATTAGGATATATGCACTTCTTATTTCCCCCGACGGCTGCCTCATATGCCATGGTGAAAAGAGAGAGGAAGAAATGAGCATGTCTATGAATACAGAATTGGAGAGTCATTTGAGACTGATCATACCTTAATTTAAGAACTTAAAGGGGCAGTGCAGTTAAAAATGTAATTTCCCTGTTTTTTAAAATTATATTTCCACACTATGAGGTCGAAATAACACTCTGAAATTGTGAAAATCATGATAATACCCTTTTTCTGTAAGAGCTATTTGAAAGAAAACTGGTGGGATGGTTTTTGGGCCAGATCATGACTGATTATTCTGACCAATGACCAGTCAGTCATCTTTTATTTGCATATTTATCCTCCTATCATAGAATTTGTACACTAGAATGGGCATGAACCGTCTTATGCTTGGCTAAAAGGTCAGCCATTTTGGTCAGGGAGTTGGTCAACCATGGTTTGCCAGTGCTGTGAAAAGATATGGTATAAAACAATGAATTTGAAGAATTTATATGCACTGTATGTTTGTTAGCTAGCTAGCCAGCCAGATGTTGAGGAATGATTACATTAATAAAACAATTAACTGCCAATATGCCATTCAAACAATGCAGTCAATCCACAGCCATTCACTGGCTGAAATCAGTTGATTTGGTCTTTAACTGAAACCTGGGTGCGTTTTTAAGGGTGGGGAAATAGAAGCTTGTACCTTGTACTTCAGCTTTTGTCACCCCCTTTAGTCGTTTAGTTTCATTTCCTGGAAGGTTCCCATTCAAGGCCAAGTGCAGTCAAAAACGCGATTCTCCTGTGTTTTATATACAGTATATTTCCAAACTATGAGGTTGGAATAATACTGTGAAAATTATGATAATGCCGTTTTAGTGTAAGAGCTGTTTGAAAAGACCACCTGAAATTTCTGCATGTTTTGGTGGGATGGAGTTTTGGCCTGTCTGGTGACATCACCAGGCGGTAAATTCGTTAATAGACCAATAAGAAAGAGAGTTCCAAACCTCTCTGCAAATAACAGCTAGTTTTCAGTTTTCCACTCCTCACTTAGTCCTAGCAAAATTCTTGCTTGAGATATTGCTCTTTGCTAAAAAGTTAATTTTTTACCATTTACATTGAAAACAATCACAGTAAGGTACTTAATTGTTAATAAGAAATGATTTGATATTGAGATAAAATGGCTGCATTGGACCTTTAACAGTTTTATGTGTTTTACAATAACATCAGTATTTAGTTTCTAGCCCTTTCGTCAGCCTTATGCCTTTTCTGAGTTAACGTCCTATGGATTCTTTAGCTTACGAGGCACAATTATCTTCCTCTTAGATAGAATTCACCCTTCATAAAGTTATTCATTATGGCACACTCAGTATGCCTGTATCATCTGTCAGTGACATAATCATGTATGCTGAGGATTATGTCTGAGACCAACTGTCAACATTGGCAACTCTAAAAGTTTTCTAAAGCAGTAAGAAGCCTTCCACATTAATTAGCCTACAGACTGAAAAAATAATACAGAAATTAAATAAGTGAATGGAATTTCAAGCTTAGTCACAGCTTAGCAAA